CTTTTGTATTTATTTTAATATTTGGATAACAATTTGGTTCTAAATTGTCACTAGAATGCTGTATTTGTTTGTTGGATAGTGTATCCACGAAAATCAAGATTTGTGTTTTAAAAAAGCTCTTTAAGATGGTTCAATATTTTTTTACTCATTCATAATTTTTGGAGAAGAAATCTTTTATTTAGCTTATACTAGGTAATGACGGTTAGCTTGTTTTATTCATTTACATAATCATAAGTTTTTACCAAATGATTGTGACACCTTTCTTCATTTTTATGCTCAAGTATTTTTTATAGTGTGTTAATTGGCATATTAAAAAAAAGAAAATAAACTTTGGTAACATAATTCTTTACATAAAATATGTATTACAATGTAACTATAATTTTTATATACTTTCTATAAAAATACAAATATATTTTAACTTAGGTTATAAAATACGGAGTACAAAATAAAAGATTTGTACATGAAAGTAGTTTCATGGTTTGCACTCATAATTTAAATATGTTTTTTTAGAAACATATCAACATATGTAAAAATATATAGGTAATTCTTTTTTTCCAAATTCATTTGATAAATGAAATATTAATATAATGAATTTGATCAATTTCGGGTCTAATCGGTTTCGGGTCTAATCGGTTCCGGGTTTAACCGGGTTCGGGTTTAATCGGGTTCGGGTTTAACTGGGTTTGGGTTTAATCAGTTCTGGTTTAATCGGTTCGGGTTTAATAAGATTCGGGTCTGAATCGGGTCTGAATATATTTGGTTCGGGTTCGGTTCGGTTCGGATCATTTCGGGTGTTCGGTTCTATTTCGGTTCTTCAGTTTTCGGGTCAAATCGGGTTCGGTTCCGGGTTATTCGGTTCAGGTTATCGGGTCCGGGTCAGTTTTGCCAGGTCTAGTGTCGAGTGGCCAACAAACATTTAAGATATTTCAAATATTCACAAAGCCTTTGTATAGAAATATAAAATACGGAAAATATGTTTTTTTGTAATAATAATTTCATTTCAATTATAACATCAAAGTTTTTTTTGTAAATATGTAAAATACTTGAATCAATTTTTAATGTTAATATGACTACATATTAAGATAAGTTATTGGTGTTTACATTGGCTTCATTTCGCATCAAAGTTATATGTTGGCATTAACATTTTGAAAAGACTATCTCACGGTAGACTTTAGTGTTAACGCATTAACTATTAATCTACATCATTAAAATTTTATCTAAAATGCTATTGTTAATCGAAAATGTTGTTCCAAACAAAACCATGATTAGTATTTCTTAAAGTTCAGAATATGGTTAAAATGATTAGTAGCTAAGGCAAAATAATTTTAATTGACTAATAAGTTATTTGCAATTATGTTTCAATGATTTTTTCTGCATTTCACATATACTCATATAAAGAAAACAAAGTACTTAAGAATGCTCGGTTTATTATTCCGTTGATTTGATTTTATGGAGTGAAAATTGAAACGAAAACTAAATAATAATAGTTCGGTTCAGCTGTTTTATATTTGGTTTCAAATTTTTGGTTCGATTTTTTTCTAGCTCCTTTTGATTCGGTTTGCAATTTTCCCAACCCATCATGCCTATTATGATACCATCATTTTTTTTATAAAAACAGTATTGCGAGGTATCGCTACTAAGAAATCACATGTATTATATCATTTGATCTTTACTCTAGGAGTATTTAAAATTTGTAATAATATATTTCGAGGGTGATTCCATCTATTTGGACATTAGAATTGAGGACTAACAACACGGATGCCACTGTGGTTTACAAAAGGAGCACTCAAACTCCCTCTCTTTTTGAAAATTATTTCTAAAACCCATGTAGCTTCTAAATTGTACATACACGCCCCCCTAATCACTATAATGCCCTAATTACCCTTCTTTCCCTCAATTATAATATTCTTATTGTGATTGTTATTGTTATTGTTGATAACAGGTAAAGAGAATTTGATCAAGTGAATAATATGCATGTCATTTAGTTAGGGACAAAGTAGTATAATTATTATTTTTTAATTTAAAATATTGATGTTTTTTCTAGGGCAATTTAGATTAATAAAATATCCATAACTTTTTAAACATAAATTGGCCTCATGTAAAAAAAAAATTATAACATTTTTCCCAATAAAATTGTACTCCATATTTTATATTAAAAATGAAAGAAAAATAATAATGAGAGTGAATCACAAAATAGTAACATCAGAACAAATAAAAAATTATACCGTGAGAGTAGCTATTTTAAAGTTATACCGTGAGAGTAGCTATTTTTTCAAACAAATGTTGGGGGGGAGGGGGGCATTCCATCCAAACCCTAGTTAGGCATAGACGTTTTGTTAAAAAATGTCAATTAAATTTCAATGAGCCAATTGAACTAAAAAGTTTTTATATACTCTAATATACGTCTCTCATGTGTAGTCGTTACTTTTTTGAACCTTGCACGTGAAAACTTAACTTTTTTTAAACTGAGAAGTGTTGAGTTTTGAATTGTGATCTTTTTGTCAATAAGACTTTTATACCATATTGAATAACCAAAGTAATTGTATTGATTGAGAACAATGAAAGATATATCACTCTATACTTAAAAGAGATTCCTAACATAAGAATCAAATATAGAATTAACTAAAATAGCAATTCTACTATAATTAATATTAATTATTCTTAATTGTCTAACACAATTGCCAAAATAACCATGCTTTCTTAGCTTATACTCCCTCTGTTTTTTAAAATCTTTCCTCTTTCATTTTTTTTGTTTTTCTTAAAACATTTCCCTTTTCTATTAAAAAACCACTTTTACCCCTACTTTTTTATACCCTACCTATCACATCATAATTGTTCACTAACAACTAAACTATCACATCTTACTTTTACCCATCACATCAAAGACAAAATTGGAAAGTCAACTACAACTTAACACTTCCTTATTTTTTCCCAAAGTCAAAAGAGGAACCGTTTTGAAAAACGAAGGGAGTAGAAAATTGTTACACGGTGCTCTCTATTTTGTAGAAAGAACTCAGGGTTCCATTTAAAAATTGAACATATTGGATGCACGGACATTTTAACTTGGTGGTAAATTTAATATTCTGTTTGTTTGATCCTAAATTTTTAATTTTAATTTTTTCCTTTTCATTATTACTCTTAAGTACCTCAAGTTTTAGGCTAATAACTTGCAGGTTATTCTATCTTTCCAGCAAATGTTTTTCATATTTTTCTGCCAAACCTTCTCGTGAATCTTGGACCAATTTTCTTCGTATATACTCTAGACTCTAGTGTTGCTTTGTTTGCATATAAGTTTATTGAGTGAATCCAACCGAACACTATAAATCTAAACAAGAAAATGATTCTTTTTATATTCTTTATTATACATTCTTCTTCTTTTTTAATGCATTTTCACTACCCCAAGTGTATTTTTTGCTTTGCAAATCCTTTTCACTTTTTTCATTTCATTTTTGTTTTCACTTTCCAACTTTTTATGCATTTCCCAGTTTATTTATTATATTATTTAATGGATCACTAAATTTAAAAATGCATTAGTCACACTCGTACACCAAATCATTTAATATAATATTTGAGAGTTGATAGCCTAGAATCTTGACATGTGGCACCTTAAGAGTTATATTTTAATGACACCTCAGTTTCCACACGTCTTCTTCTTGTGGCTCTACGGCAGAAGACTTTCCCAGCAAATCAATTTCGTATTCTTCTTCGCATCTACAGGGCTAGATCTCTGCCGCATCCCCTTCACCCCTGATTCGTCTCCAAAAATACACTGATTTTTTGATTAATTTCTTCACCTAAGGAAAGAAATCAATGGTCTCTGCTTCGCCAAAGGAAAGTATCGAAGATTCTCCCGATCTCTCTACAATTAGGTTTAACAAATCTTCTTCACATCCATGGCCATGGCTCTGCATCGTATCAACGATTCTGCCAATCTCTCTGCAACTCAATTCTTTACCGACTAAAAAAGGCAAGGAAAATCAGCACACACATTCTTTTCCTTCTATGGTCTTCTTCTCCTTCTGCGCACGTCAGGTTCTTTTCCTTAATTCCTTCTCTGATCAGCGCCATAGAGTTCAAAATTATGAGTCTTTCAACTTTCATTTGACAATTCTTATTTGATTCATTTAATTTGCACGGTGGCAACAAGAATCTTATAACTCAATAACAAGAGTTCTTAATTTGCTGATTTTGAAAACTTGCGTAATTTAAGGAAAGTAGAATTACCCTTTACTCAAGAACAAGAGTTCTTAATTTTCTGATATGAAAACATCCGTGATTTTTAAAAGGTAGAAAATTATAATATATAGGAAATTGTGTGTGTAACTAGAGTAGGAAAGCCATCCTAATGATCTGGGAATCTGAACTAATTAACAAAAAATATAGGATTCTATATTTTCTTTTATTATTTGTTTTGTTTTATGCTAGAATCTGCGTCCAAAAAAAAGAAAGAATCATGAGTTAATAGGGTTTTAGTGTCATTTGATCCTACCAAATCTGATTTTTTAATATTCATTAGACTAAAAATTGTTAGGTTAGACGAACTTTTGGGTGAATGTGAAGTATTCTGCTTGCTATTAACTACGGCTAGACTATGTTACTAATCCTTAACAGTTCATTTCGCAGTTGCTTTGTGCTCATGATTCAACCACAGTTGCTTTGTGTGGGTAGAATTTTAGAGGCATTGACTTCCATTTTTAATTAAAACTTAATGAACAGACACATTCGGTATGGGCAAAGAGAGTATTATTGATTTTGTTTTATATGGAGTATTTTATTTATTTATGTTTGTATCAAATCTCTGATTGGTTGGATTTTATGGCAACTCTACAATTATTTTAGACTGATGGCTTACTACAATAATCAGAAGACATCTTATTTCCTATAGCAGTATGAAAAAATCCCGCCAAAATGTTGCAGCAACCGTTCATGCACGATCTCAATCTCTAGACACTACAATCTCGCTACCAAGTCTCTCTATCTGTTTCTGTCGAATCGAAGAGCCACATTATCAGCCATGCGACACAGCCTTTTTTTGATCTTTTGCAGAGAACTACAGACTAGACGCATCAGAGTGCAGTGATTCACGGACACGGGTAGCACATTTTTCTTTTTCAATTGAAATTTATTTATATGTATGACAAGACCTTTCATTCTCTGCCTCTTTTCTTTGATGTAGTGATAATGTCACTCCTTTCGAGACTTGCAATAGGTCAACAACATCACACTCCAACAACGACACCACCATTTTAAAGTAGTATTTTTCTTCATTTGAATTCATTTTTTATTTCAACTTCTCAAAAAACAAATGAATTAAAAGTCATTTTTCCAAATTTAATTCTACTGCTTTGTGATGTTTGAATATGCTCTGTATACATAAATTGATAATCTTCAAGTTGAAGTTTAGATTTTAGGTACAAATATATCTAATTTTCATTGTATACATGTGATCTTTAAAGATATTGGATCCTAAAGTTTGACGATATTAGAACAGATAAGTCTTAAAGTTCTTATAACTATTTAGTTTAAAGTTGCTATAAAAAGGCATGTGGTCCTTATTTTCTAAACCTATGATTTAATAGGCCAAAAGAAATTTTTCCAATTCAAAATAGTAAACTGATACTTTTGAAAAATATAATTTGTAAGTTCTTGCAGATTGATGAAGCAATTATGGGGGTGACAAGAAAAAAAGAGGAAAATAGGCAATCATTAGAACAACAAACAGTCATCCTCAAGTTTTGCAGAAAGGTTTACTAATCAATATTTTATGAAAAAGAATGATAACATGCTATATTGGATCCATAAAGAAAAAGCACGGGTATATGGGTATCTCACCAGTCACTTAGAAGGTATATGTTTCAAATGGTAATTCTACCACCATTACTGAGACAGGGATATCTAGGTGTCACGATTTGAACAATTCTAAGAATATTTAATCTGTTGAGTCATATTACTTATGTTTCAATAGGTTCTTCTGGTGTTATTTAACTGATAAATTGCTAAACATAACCTCGAGTGAGAAACATATTGAGAGTCAATTCTTTTTCTGCCTTGGATTCCGAACAAATTACAAAAAAAAATTTACAAGTTTTACAATCTTATAATGTGTTTACCTCTTCGATTATGTTTTTTGTTTAACATGCTTGATTAATTAAAAATTTTCCATTTTTAATTAACATGCTTGATTCTTTTCGTTCGAACCACAGGTGGTGAAGTTGAACACATGTTCTAAGGAATATGATGCCAATAGATGGATGGGTTGTACTCCATACTATTTTTTGAGCTATATGTGGTTGTGTTATTGCCAAGCTCGACGGTTGGACTCCAAAGCGTGGGGGTTGCCATAAGAAGTGAGTTATCAGTTAACATTCACACTTTCTTCACTACTGTAATGAAATTTGTATAATCAAGTACTTATAGATACAAGTGTAACTAAAAAACTGAAAATTAAGTTATCATTTAGGATTAACCAGTGAAAAGTTCCATTTTCCATTGGATATTAATACAACCTCAATGTTAGGCATTATGATTTTTTGAATCCATAATTTAATTCCTGCATCTCGAATTCTTGAGGATCATATATTTCATACAGATTACTGAATGATACCAGTTATATGCAAACGATACCTGTTTCTAGATCTAAACGCATCATTTTGTGATGTTCATATGAACTTGAGTTTTTCACTATTGCATATAAAACACATGGATTGTATAATATGGTTGAATCCTGACCATTACCTCAATCAGTTGTTGTGATTCCAGTTTCAGCCCGCTTTACCCCATGTTGTGATATAACAGAAGATGGATCGAAATTCCATTGCTCTCAAATGGGTCTAAAATGTATCATAATAAATGAAAGGGTATATAATCTCACATGAACATGTACTTTTACGAAAATTTCTTAGTATTTTATATTTTCTCATTATTTTTTCCTCCATGACAACCATTTCGTCTTTAATTCTAGATTTTTTCACTTTAATTCTAGATTTTTTTCACTTTAATACATCAATATTGCTCTAACAGTTAACCCTGTTAACATAAACATAATGATAGACATGATAGATCAATATTTAATAAAATTAATATTTTGTTGCAGGACTTGATTGGGGATTTTATCGATGCTAAAGACAAACAAATGACATGACTTCGAGATAGTATATCAAGATTCATGCCAATGAAGAAGAATCTGATCTTATAGATTGAGACAAGTCAGTCATCGAGTGACAAGGTCGAAGAAAAATAATATTATACTTGATTTATTAATGAGTTTTATTTTATGGTTTGACTTGCATGATATGGTTAGCATTCACCATGTAAGAGTACGTAGTAGATGATTTTATGGTTTAGTCTACAAATACTTTATTTTGTTTAGCCTAAAACCTTAAACACATGTCTTGGTTCAAATGTCTTGGTCAATGGTAAATTTAAAATTCAATAAATTTCAATAAATTGATCTTTTGTCATATATTGCATTCTAGCGCTGTTATTTTATACTCCGTATCATATAGCTTTTGTTTATAAATTTTTTGTGATGGGTTATATCTACTATACATATAGAAAATAATATAGATAATGTGAATAAGTAACAAAAAATGTAGTATAGAAATAATGTTTGTGGGCACAAACATTTCTTTGATCCTCATACTATAAAAATTATAGATTTACTTCAAGGGAAAGAAATTGTAGCCTATTTCTAAGCAAATTTATACGACTATGTTAACTTACAAAGGATGTAAGTGTTTTTTAACAAATAAACTTTTACCAATACCCAATGTAATTTTCCTTCAATATTTCATCAAATTTTGTCCATTTTGACTATACAAATATAAAGTGGACGAATAATTTAGGACAAATGTAATAAGTAAATTTTATTAAAATGAGGATTGAAAAAAATCTTATAAAAATGTTCTAACATACCAAAGTCATGGTAAACTTTGTGTTGTTGTTTCACGAGTGAACACTAAGACATCATTAAAAATATTATTTCTATATGACAATATAATCCCTTATAACCATAATCAACATGTTGTATACACTGAAGTCTTTAAAAAATTTACAAATAAAAAATATGCAGTCAAGTATACTTTCAATTCATAAAATATTACAGTATATTTTTGTGTTGGTGTCTATTGTATTAAATTTTCAAAATTTTAAACATATTGCATACCCTGATGTCTTTAAAATATTTTTTTATTCTAGACAAAATATTTCATTGAAAAAAATAAGAACTGATAAAAAATTCGTTCGTTCCCGTGCGTGGCACGGGTCAAAATTCTAGTATTTATTAAAACACCAAAAAATAGTTATTCTCTTTGAATATGTAGAGTATGAGTGTTACTAATGCGGAAAAAAGGTAAAGAAAATTTGCTGGAAAGACACATTATGACTTGTTCTTAGTATGAAATTTGACGTACCCCAAAATAATTATAAAAGGAGTAAATTTTGAAATTTTAGATCAAAGTTAACAAAATCTTCAATTTAAACGGGCATTGGGAAGAAAAGTACCCTCAAACTTTGTTACCACACCATAGAGGGTATCATCGGACGAAAAGTACCCTCAGACTTTGAAAATTTCATTGACTTTCCGATTGAAATTACCAGAACGTCTATGCGTAACAAGGGTTTAGAACTTTAGATGGAATGTTCCTCCTTATATATTTGTTTGATAAATTGGGTACTACGAAAGTGTTGGGAAATAAACACACAACACACACAAATAATCTGCGAAAAACGAGAGAAACGGAACACGGACGACACACAAGAATTTAATGTGGTTCGATTTCTCTAATCCACGGCTGCAACAGGAGGATTCTATTTCACTTGTCGTGTCTCACAGAATTACAAGTACATGGGCGACTATATATAGGAGAAAAACCTAGGGTTACAAAACATGGGCCGGGCCTACAAGTCAAGCCCAAGCCTCCACAAACTCAATATTCTCCCACTTGGAGGCTTGATAATCATCAACTGCCATCTGCCACGATCGCATGTACATCGAGTAATCTTCCTCAACTCTCCTGTTGCAGCGGCCCTCTCATCAGACAACTGAAAGGCCCGTTGAAGCTCTCCCAAGCTCCAACACATCAGTCACGGCAAAATCTACCCCTGACTCGTCCTCGGTCCCTACCGGCTCCCACTGCAGATGCACACTGCCGGATCCTGGAACATTCTGAGAACAAACATTCTCCGTACTCAGCAAGAAATTTTCTAGAGATGTTCCAACAGCTGGAATACTGGTTCTCCTGACCCACTGTCTTCTAGGCAACTTGGCTGAAGCGCTTCTTGAGCTTCCACTGCCACAAATACCTCTGACTAGCTCCCTTGAACCTTTCCACGCTCGTTCATCTTGAGTCTGACCAGTGGCTCTAGGTTTCTCTCTTGCACAGACAACCTTATTCTGCCCACGAGACTCTGTGAACCGGACTTTGTTTCTCTTCTGAACTGGGACGGTCACTCCCTCAGATGGTAACTCGACCATATACATCGAACCACTCTTCCTTCCACGGGCCATGACAAGATTTCCCTTCACAACCTTCCACTACCTATCTCTGAACTTCACCTCGTGTCCTTGTTCGTCCAACTACCTCACAGAAATCAGACTTTTCTTTAAGGTTGGAACCACTCTGACATCCTTCAAAGTCCAGAAACCGACTGAGGTCTTCAACACCATGTCACCCATGCCCGTCACATCAAGAGCTCTGTCGTCCGCTTGTCGAACCTTTCCAAAGTCCCCAACAACTAGATTCTGCAATGCTTCACCGCTGTGGGTAGCATGAAATGAAGCACCAGAATCCATGACCCAGGAACCCACATTGCTTTCCTCACAGCAAGTTAGAGCGACCTCCTCGTCACTCACAGAGTCTTGAGCAATATTTACTTTCTTATCATTCGGACATTGATTCCTAAAATGCCCCACCTCCTTGCACTTCCAGCACGTTACACCTGAGCTATCACGAGTATTCGACTGACTCCTTTGTCTGTTCCTGCTCCCACTACCTCTGCTATTTCTTCTGCCTCTACCAACATGAAGCAATTCACCAGATGACTCCCCAGAACTCTTTCTTCTGACGTCCTCGCAAAGAACGAGATCTCGAATCTGATCAAAGGTGAATCCATCAAGTCCCACTGAACCAGTAACTGCGGTAACCGTTCCGGACCAACTATCAGGTAAAGACGATAGCAGTAGCAAAGCTTGAACTTCATCATCGAACTTAATGCCCACTGACAAAAGTCTGGCTAAGATCGAATTCAACTTGTTGATATGCTCAATAACTGAAGTGCCTTCTTTCATTTTTGTGTTCACCAGCTCTCTGATCAGAAAAACTTTGTTAGTTGCAGATGGCTTCTCGTACATGTTAAACAACGCTTCCATAATTCCCTTCGCTGTCTTCTCCTTCAGAATGTTGAATGCAACATTCTTGGTCAACGAGAGACGAATCACGGACATATCTTTCCGATCCAAACCTGCCCAATCTGCATCTGACATCTTTTCTGGCTTGTCACCTAAAACCACGTCCAAATCTTTCTGAACCAGCAAATCTTCAATTTGCATCTTCCACCAACTGAAATCTGTACTATCGAACTTTTCAATTCGGAACTTCCCATCTTCTGCCATCTCAAATGACTAGACGAGATACCCGGTACAACTAATTTCAGATCTTGGTATTTTTCGTCAGAAAATCAGGTCCACCACTCTAATTGAATATCCAGCCACAAGGAAAAATTACGGCCCAAGAGGAAAAAGAATAGCCCACTAACCCTTCTTTTCTCTTACCTTTTTTTCTGCCGATCTATACCTGCCAAAAGTCCAAAGAAACCCTCTTTTTTTTCTTGATCAGGAGGCGGCGCCTGAAGCTTCTGCGCGTGGCCAGCGGCGGCGGTTCGGACGGCGATGGCGACCCACTGGACGGCGGCGGTGGCTTGGCGAGCGGTCGGACGATACCTGCTCGCGGTGGTGAACTCTGCGCGCTGGACGATGGAGGCTCTCGACTGGACGGCGGCGGCAGATCTCTCTCGCTCCTGCCGCGACCAGTTTTCCAGCGGCGGCGATCTGATTTGATGGCAGCAGCACGATCTGAAACGGCGCGGCTTCACGGCGGCTCCTTAACCGGGCGGCGGCGGTTATCCTCTGTGCACACGACGGCGGCGATCTGGAACCTCGACGGCGACTGGGTTGTGCGCTGGATAGACACAGCGGCTTTGCCCCTTGCTGCTCGTCCCTCCTCTGGATCGCAGCTTCTGCCGCTACACTAATAGCCTACACAGCGGCGCTCCTCAATTGAACGGCCCCACACCCGCACGATATGGATCCCACGCGGTTCTTCCCACAAGAACCCTAGGTGACAAATTTTCTCGCAATTTGTTGGGAAATAAACACACAATACACACAAATAATCTGCGAGAAACGAGAGAAACGGAACACAGACGACACACAAGAATTTAACGTGGTTCGGTTTCCCTAATCCACGGCTGCAATCACAGAATTACAAGTACATGGGCGACTATATATAGGAGAAACACCTAGTGTTACAAAACATGGGCCGGGCCTACAAGTCAAGTCCAAGCTTCTACAAACCCAACAGAAAGTACTACGTATATATTTTGAAAATGACTGGGACCTATGACCTATCACTGTGAGTATTCTTATAAAATTTTTTTTGAAAGTACCCTGGAGCAATTGTTTGCAATGATACCATATCTTCTTAGGAGGTGTGTCTCTTCTACTCATACGGAAGTAGAAAGTATCTTTTTAATTTAAGAAAGTATCTTTTTAATTTAAGTCCTCTTCAGGAATTATATTTCTCATCTAATTTATAAGATTTGACGAATTTTATTTTTTAATTCATTTTATATAGTTATAGGTGTAAATTTTAAAATATAAGACTTATGTATTTACAAGCTACATAAATTTTTTTTTTGAAATAAGAGATCACATGAGTATTTTATATTACAAAGTATGAGATGAACAGTAAAAATAAACAACGTACTCCCTCCGTCCCATAAAACATTTCCTATTTTAAAAATAGCACGCCTTTAAAATGAGTAATTTTAGTATTATTTTTTAATTATGACTAATCTATTCTACACATCTCATCCTATTCTTTTATAAAGTAAGGGCAAAATTAGAAAATAACACCAAAATTACTCATTTTAAAGGCGTGCCATTTTTGAAACAGGAAAGGTTTTATGGGACAGAGGGAGTACTCTGTAATACCATTTGACCGTATGAATAATGTCTAGATAATTTGTTTATGGACACAGAGAGTAACATTTAACCTGTGCCACGCATGAGATTACACGACTTTTTTTTTTTAAATTCTACGGAGTACAACTTTTTCACTTAAATATTACTCGTATTGAAGAACTGAATAAAATAGCTATTCGATACAATCTTTTTTCTCCGTTCTACAAAAAGTCTTTTATTCCGTCCAAAAAAAATATTCTGTGATTTTTTAGAGTTAAAGGATTATCATGCATCATATCACACATTGAGTTGAAGGACCAAATGTGCAATTTTGTTTTTAGTACATGGTTAAAGCCTTAAAGTTAGCTTTTGCAATTTTTTAGGTAAAATGTAAAAATGAAAGGGAAATGCTTGGTTCACAAACAAATGTTCACAAACTTCACAAACTTACTATTTGTGAACTTCAATAAATAAAATTAAATAGTCTAAAATAAATTTAAAATGAAAATTTAAACTATAAATAGTAAATTTGTGAAATTTGTGAGTATCCTGTTTGTGAACGTAGCATTGCTCAAAATGAAATGTTGCAAAAAGAAAATGTTAATAAAATTTTTAAAAACTGAACAAAAAAATGCAATTTTTTTAATTTGTGGGGCACCTTACGGTCAAATGATTTTTATTTGTAATGAAATTAAAAAAAATGTGTATGTTGCAGCATTGGCCCAATTCATCCAGAGGCCTAAAACGAGATCCAACACAATAAACTATTACCAGAGTTTTAGGCCAATCCAGTTTTGAATATAAGATGGTTCCCCCACCCCAAGGACCATCCGGGTTGGACTACACTTTGGCATATAAAAATTCAAAATCAGCTATAAGTGCTCAGAGGAGCAAAGCAGACTAGCAGAGCAGCGATTCGGGTCGAACGCCTATTTAGCTAGCTTTTCTTTAATGATTTGTTTGGAAGAGGGAGGAAAATGGAAAGAAAAAAAAAATGATAGAAAAAGAAAATAAAGAGAGAGTATAAATATAGTACCAATTGGTGTTTGGATGGGTAGAAAATGGAAAGAAAATAAAGAGAAAATGTAGAAAAAGAGGAGAATAAAAAAAGAAGAAAAAAACATGGATGAAGCTCCCTTATTGTTTACTCCCTCTACCTCACCTTTTCTTCACAAAGTTGGGAAGAAAAGTTTTGGTCTGCGCCCCACCATTTTTTCCCCTTTATCTGAACAAGAGAGAATGCTCCCAAAATTTGTTTTTTTCTCTCCATTACTTTTCTTTCCAATTCCTCTCTTTTTCTACCCATCCAAACATAGGCTAAAGACTATATTCTCATTCTTTTCATGATCAGTTCTCAAACTGGATCATTAAATTGGTAAAATATGATTAATGCAAGGTTTCTAGTTGCTCAATAAAAAGGACCTGTCCTCTTTAAAATAGAACACTCCTAGACCTGCAGCCGTTGGGAGCAGTGAGCATGGTCACTTGTCCGAAATGAGAAATCTCCACAACAACAGAGTCACCATCCAAAGGAAGGGGCTGTTTCCATGGTTCTCCGTCAATCCTCATGAATGTGTGGTCAGCTGCCCCTTTATGGAACTCAAACCGAATTCCGTGTGCCTGCAGGACAATGCAGGTTGGTAGATAAACTAAAACACGTACTCTTTACATTTATTGGTGATCTCTAATAAGTGGTTAAATACAAACCTGTGCAAGGCGCCTTCCGTGCCCATTTCGAGCAAGCAAAACAAGCCCATGCCAAGCATCCCGAAATCCAACAACCTCAATCAGCCCATCGTCAACATACGGCCGTGTCAAGTCTCTCTGTTTTTACCACACACCGCACGGGTTTATTCACATTAACTAATGTCAATTGAGAATGTGTGTCGAATCATATCCTCATAGAGCCATTGCACATTTTATGCATGGTAGCAATAACAGACCCAGTAATAAGAACAACAACAATAAGAAAGAAAGTTTACCTCGTGGAGCTTTTTCTTATTGGGACTTCCCCAAGGATTGAGTCCACCAGAAAAGCTGGGGAGGTTGAGGCACACAATGGACCTGATGCTGCACATTGATTTTTGCCATCTATCATTAGTACAAAACCAGCTTCCAACATTTCATTCTCTTTCCCCAAATTGTATGGAGTGCCATTGATGCACGTAATTCAGTAACACTATGTTTGGTTCAAGGAATTTGAAAGGAAAAGAAAAGAAAATGATTTTCTCTCATTTTCCTCACCAAAATGGGAGGAATTTTGTTCTCCTCCTTTTAGTACATTTTGTCTTCTCATTTTCTTTTCCTTCCACTTTTTCTTTCTTTTCCTCTCTAACCAAACAAGAAAACATATTTTCCACTTAATTTTCTTTTCTTTTCCCTATCAAATTCCTTGAACCAAACATAGTGTAAAACTCATGGCATATTAAGTTGAACCTCAGTATTTACTTGAACAGAAATTAATACGACTACAATCTTTGAATTACCTTGTAGGTATGTCGAGGTCTATCCAATCACCTGTCTTTTTCAGGATTTTAACCTTACTCAGCTGTGCAATATTCCTGCCGATTTCAAGGCAAAGGTCATTTGTAAACATTAACAACCAAGAGAATTCATGTGTGACAAAAAAGTTTTTGATCTTATATAGTCATTGAGAGACTAACTTTGAGGATGGATGTGTAAGACAAGCCCAAAACCATCCTTGAGTACAACCAAGCTTTGCATAGGTAGTCTAATAGAAATACAGGAAATAAAATAATTACAAATACAAGTTATCTCAAAACTCAATTGCACAACAGCACAATCATAACATAAAACAATTTTGACAATATTAACCTGATTAACTAATTGGTTTTTAAAATTTTCAGGACGTAGCTTCCTCTCGCTGTGAAATGCATAGGAAACTTGTGCGTCCATCCCTGCAGAATAAAAAACATGAAATTCAAGGAATCACATAATTAAATGATAAAAGATGCTAATAATATCTCATGCAAGTGAGACCATAAAAAGGCTGGTAAATGTGCTTGTCAGCTTCAGGTTGATGGTGAGTACAAGATTATGAAACATTTCTGTCAACCAAAACTTGATACCGGCTATCTTACACACAAAATTTTATTGGTTTCAATGTACAATGATATTTTCATGCATGTGATGAGTACCCATGCTCTCCATTCAAGGCACGTGTAAAGGGCTCCAATTCAATTAGGCAGCATAGACATTCCGAAGAGTATAGCACAGAAAAATTGGACCATGTGCATGAATTGAGGGCTTGAATGTATTGTTCAAAGTATGACTATAAACGATACCTAAGAAAACTGACGAAATGGTTCACTCAATGACTAAAATACTGCAAATGCGCACTACTCTGTCTTCGGGTACTACTGATGAAATTTGAGGGTCAAAAATGAATAAACAATGTAATATTACCTAACATACAAATAAATTGTTTCCATATTGCACTATTGATCAAGCTAAAGACAATACGTGTGTTTGATGTTCCATAAAAATGAATTAGGACAAACTTACCCATGCTGAAGTAGTTCCAGAATGCTCCTCGAAATGTGTGGTAGCCATCCTAATAATATAAAAAAAAGTAGAATGTGCAATGATATAGGGTCATAAAGCAAATCTAAGAAAATCATGGTAAAAGCGATGCTCATACATATAATAGTGAGACTAGTATCCCTTTCTTAATTCGAACCCATCTATAAACATTTTTTCATTTATCTCTTTAATACTAAATGGAAAAGATCCTAATAAGAAGACATATTTTTGAGAATGAGAGCTCAAACATTACGTTGTGCATACATAGCTAGAATTATTTAAAGTTGGTGAAACAAAACTTATGGAGCACAAGGAAGCTCTAAGAGAACACAAAGCCGGTACCTCATTTAATGTATCTGTTTGAGAGACACGCTTAAAGGAATGCAATGAAGGTGGTAGCTCAAGAAGTGGGATGGGATCACAAGAACCTCCACTAGGAGCCCTCATTCGCATAAAAATATGCCAACTGAAACAAGTGGAGAGTCATGTAATTCCAACAATGGAAATCACAATTAAAGTCCCAAAATGATACTCCTTATATACGGAGTATAATTCTAGCACGACTGAATTTTACTGCAGTTGAAGCAGCATGTTTTCCTGTCATCTTCCCTGTGGTACTCAAAATAAAAACATTTTACCTGTCAACTTTCATCTCTTTTGCATTCCTTACTTGAGCCAAGAAGTCCTTGACTGAGCTGCAGTCCGTACCAGGGTTCTTTTTCCCCTGTGAATTAAGATATGAACATGAGATATGATTGTTCAAAGATGATTGGCTACTCCATAGAAGCTGCAAACACATCCAAACACAAGAAGTGTGGCACGAATGCTTCAGATTCCATCTTACCCAGCCAAATGAAAATGAGAGATTATTTCCTGTTCCTAAAGGCACTGTTGCAATTGGTGGTGGGCATGCTAGTTTAAGATCCGAAACCGCGCCGAGAAGCCAACCAGCTGTTCCATCACCCCCTGCAACCTACCAATTAAGTCTATGTTAAGATACACAAAGCAAAACACACATCATCATACGCAGCACCATTGCACCAAGCGCGTAATCCAATCAATGGACTCACAATGATTCTCAATCTCTTCTCGATTTCGAAACACATTTTATCTCCATTTCGCTTATGCTTCTCCAAGTTAGAATAAAGCTGGTGTAGAACCTTGTCCGGAGCGCTTTCCCCCAAATCATATACCTGAAGAATAACTTTTAGGAATTTATCATTACCCCATTTATACTCCATGTATAAGTTTCCACACATTTAACAAAAAAGAGGTGACAAAAAGAAAACATTATTATGGAAATAAATAGACCTGATGTTTGTTTAGAAGCCTACGATAGGTCAAAAGAAGTTCATCCCCAAGCTGGCCACCACTTCTGGAATTAATAAACACTATGACGGGGCAAGGAGGCGGTGCTTGTTCATGAGACGCTGTTGCTTCTATTTCAGACAATAGTATGTGATCGGGAATGTAGTATTCCATTAAAACCTTCTCAGCTTCCATGCTTGCTACACCCGCTACACACACAGATTCATTCGCCCGAAAACTTTTTCAGAAAATCTGCATTAACATATATGGCATATTTAAGCATCCTTTCCTTGAAGACGAAATAAGATGCATTACCTTTCCCCGACTTCTTCCAGATTATACTTCAAGTTTCACAGCCGAAATTTGGTAAAAACGACGTGATATCCACTGCACAGACAAGTTCCAATACATCTTCTACCAAACATTCAAACTGGGAGTGTATATATATATATAATTGAGCGATTAATTATGGTCAGGCCTGATTATTTTGAAAATTTAATGACTTTTAATGAAGAAAATTGTAGATTAATCAAAAGTCCTCCCGCCGTTGATCGCGAATACGCAAGTACTGACCGAGAAAATTAACGGAGGGAACGGAAACTTGGAGAAAAGGATGAAGGCCCACACCGGAAGCCCCACACCCCTGCCAGAGGTGCACGGAAGGAGAGCATCTCCAGACAGAGGCTCAAGGTTTTATGTTTTGACAAAGAATAAAGCTCCACCAAGGATTATATCTCAAATACCCTCCCTTTTTCTATCCTATTTGTTCATTTTTTACTTTTTCAGTCAAAATATATAAAATTTGATTAAAATTAAATAAAAATTGTATTAAATATTGATATAAAATTTTTTTATTAGATTTTTTTATTAGATTTATTATATTAGATTTAAGTGAATACTCATTCTTGAATAACTGAATGTTCATTTCTCTAAAACTCAGATGCTAAAAAATGAGTACTTTGTTATTCGAAAATGAGTATTCTATTACTCGAAAATGAGTATTCAGTTATTTGACAATAAGAATTCATATGGATGTATGAGAACATTGTACATCCGGATTTATGGCATATGTACTCATTAGTAGTCATTCGAATCGCGGTAATATTATATAGTTGATTCTTCCGTTAATTTTACCTTTATTCATTTATTTCTTCCATTTTTCATTATAAATATATATAATGAACTCTTTTTTTATAAACAATTAAGTCATATTTCATGTGTTCAAAAAAGTCATATTTCGTATATGTCCGTTTTTAAATAAAATAAATTACTCTTACTTATTATTATATCTAATGTTTTTTAAACATATACTCTTTTTCCTCTTAAAATATGTGTCAAAATTTGACTTTTTATAAAAATAGAATAAGCATTAATTTTCCTCAAAATTTGTTTAATTGAAATTATATGTCAAATATTAATCCTTATTGATTATAAAAAGTCAAAACTTGACAAAATTCTAGTACCAAAGATAATCTTTGATATATAATTTCAATTAAAATTATATTGATAAAAACTCACTTCATTTTCATGAAAAGCCAAAAACTTGACAAACACTTTAGAATAATGTGATTATTTAAAACAAATTAGTCTAATAAAAGCAGGAGTAACTTATTAGTATTAAAAAATTTAGACAAATCCAAGTAAGCGTAATTTAGTATAATAAAAATGGAACTACGTGAAATATAACTTACTTGTATGAAAAAGAGTGTTCCTCATCACATGTGTTTATAATATAAAAAATAAAAACAAGTACATGGATTAAGGGTAAGTTAACAAAAGAATCAATTGTGCAACACTATCGTAATTTGAAGAACTAATCGTTGACTTTTAAAAGTTGGAATACTACCTGTGCACAATACATTAATTTGAATGATTACCGATGTAATTTATCTCAAATTCTACACCACAGATATACACCGATACTTTGATGATTCATACTGAATGCTTGTACAAAAGTTTGTATCGCACTAACATTTTGTGCCAATCTGAAAAACAAAGTGTAAGAGCACACTTGTGGTGTATAATTTAGGATACAACTCTTTGTGTTGGTGTCTAGACTGTCTACCTAAAGAGACATTAAATCTTCAACTATTGCTAGAGATAAGCAAAAGGATTAGAGCATCGACAGTGGCAATATCTTTTATTAGACGCCCAAGTCTGGGCTCTACTATAAAGATGTCATTCTAGCATCTTTCTCAACATTCCATTCTTTCAATGGTAGCATCTCATTTGGATGCCTAAATATCTATTTCATTAATATAATGGGTCCACTAAAATATACTTCCTCCATCCAAAAATTAATTTCTCAGTTTGACCTTTACAGTCAAACTTTTTAAACTTTGACCGTATATTACGAAAGAAATACATTGAGTTTTCATATAAATTTATTAGCAATAGATTCTTTTTGAAATATAGTTTTGAAATATATAATTTTTATCCAATATATTTATATAAAAATTGAGATATTGATGGTCAAAGTATCGCATTGAGACCGTGAAAAAGCAAATGAGAAGTTAATTTCAGGACGGAGGGGTATTTAAATTTTATTTTTTGTTAATTATAAGTATTTAGTTTTATAATAAGTTACAGAGTATTAATTATACGAAACTTGAAAATAAAACCTCACAATGTTATATTGAAAAAAACTACTCTTTATATTTTAAAACTAGCTTGTTGTCACCTCAATTGCAACTAATTGGGAGTGGTGGTGTTCTGGTTGATAGAAATAATTCCGTTTATCTTTATTAAAAAAATGTTTATTAAAAAAAATAGTAACTCAATGAAGAAGTTTTCCTTAAACCCCATTGGGATCAAGAATACAAAACAACTAAAAAAATCACATAAGAAAGCAGGCTGGATAGGTTCTTCCCTTACATGAATAACTATTTGGATGCAAATCCATTTTTTTAAGAAAAAAATCCTAATTTGTAGCTATTTGTAAAGAAAATATTTGCTTAAAATATTTATTGGAATTTCAAAAAAATATCTGTTGAAAAAGTATTTAAAAAGAGAGCCATTTAAAAAAAGTGCCATAAAAAAGAATTGAGTATATATATGTGACACATGACACATAATCATTGGACCACAAAACTAAAGAAATAAATGCATTAAATTCTTTCCCCTCAAGCATCGGTGCTATGTGAAGCATCTCCCTTTCTTTTTTTTCTTTGGACATCTCTAATGAGCACCCACTTACAATAATAGCATCCATCAACATCTCACTCTCTCTTCTCTTAGCATTTATTATGGGCATCCCTGAGATGCTCTTAGGATTTAAAGATGTAGATCAGGATAGATTAAATTTTGGACAATAATAAAAGATGGGCGAAGTGGTTATTGAGGCTAGCTCAATCTTGGACTAATAATCTCATAAGGTTTTGAATTTTTTTGGGAATGACTACATCCGTCTCGAATTGAGTGGTCTTTTTTTAAAAAATTAGAATAACACCGGATTAGAACTAGATGTGTAATGCATGTCAAATATAATTTTTAGACAAATAAATTCATAGTTTAAAATTTAATTTTATATGAATATGTTTATCCAATCAATATAGAGAATAACACTTCACATTATTTTTTATAAATTTACAAATACGTGATAACAAAATAATAATATTAAATATGCAAAGTATATAAATAAAAAATGATTTTCGTTGTTGATCCTATCCAGCTTTTACTTTAAATAAAAATATTTAAGATTCATAAATACTAATTTTAACTAAACAAATATAGAAATAAAAATATTAAATAATCACAAAAAAGATTCTTTTAAAGAACAAAAAAATAAAAAATTTACAATTTAAATATAAGGACCAAATCGTGTTACTAGTCTTAAATGGATACTATGACCAATTTTGTGTGATAATATGCTTAGATACACACATAGAACATATGAAAAGCATAGAATATTGAAGTAGAGTAAAGTTGTGTCTTATATATTGTGTGATAATATGCTTAGATACACAAACATAAAAATGTTTATATTTGGACATTTTAATTATATGATAATTAAGTATGTCAAATATAATTAATACAGAGTAATAATAATGTTTATCTCAAGCGTGGGCATGGCTCAATAGGAACAAAAAGTCGATGATCCAGGATGAAGACTTTAAAGATTTGGGGATAGATTCCTTTTGGCATAATGGTCGTAGAGTTTTATTCAAAAATGTGGCTTAAGCTTTTTGTGTTTCCCCAAAAAATATAATAAATTGTTTATTACGGAGTATTTTATTTTTGTGGCGCAAGAACATATATTTAATATTTGGACATTTTAATTATATGATCATTAAGTTTGTCAAATACTCCGTATTATTTAAGGAAAAAATATGACATTAATATATATATGACATTAATATATATATATATATATATATATATATATATATATATATATATATATATATATATATATATATATATATATAAATGTCTAGAGAGAGAGAAGGAGAGAGAGAGAGACGGCAATCCCTGCCGGAACTAATGGCCGGAAAAAACTATTCTCTGAAGTTCTCTCTTCTCTACCACAAGATGAAAAACTTCAAGGTATTACACAAGGTAAGGATGTCCATCAGTTTCATTTACAACAGAAGATATCTACAAATTATCTCAAAGATTCAACTATGCTCTCATTGGTACATTCAACCGCCGACCAGCATACATTGTCATGAAGAATTTCTTACAGAGGCTGGGCTTCAAAGGATCATATTCACTTGGAAAACTTTCTTCCAACCATGTTCTTTTAAACTTTCAGTTAGAGGAAGATTATCAGAGATTTTTTCTTAGACAAACATGGTCTATTGGTAGCCATGTTATGGTGGTTACCAAGTGGACTCCTGACTATATTGAAGGAGAAGACTGCCCTATTGTTCCTGTCTGGGTTTCATGCCCAAAGCTCCCCATCTATCTCCATGATCAAAGGGCTCTTTCCCTAATTGGTTCATCTATAGGTAGGCCTCTTAAGGTGGATGAGAACACTCTTAACTTCTCTCGCCCAGACTTGGCCAGATTCTGTGTTGAAGTTGATGTTTCCAGAGCTTTACCTTCCAAGGTCCACCTAAAATTAGGGGATAAAGACTCCTTTATCTCTTTAATTTATGAGAATGTTCCTCATTATTGCACTGAATGCAAGAAGCTTGGTCATCATAAAGGATCTTGCAAAAGAGATGAACAAAGAAAAATTGTGCAGGAAAAGGAATCTAATTCAGCCCCAAAGCCTCCAAATCATTCTTACAAAGGAAAAGAACCAGCTAAGGAAGAATGGACAAAAGTCACAGCAAGGAATGGTGGGGTCAATAAAGTCTGGAAAAGGAAAATGGGCCCTTTCCAGTCAGGTCCTGGGGAATGCTCAAACACTGCACCTGTGGAACAAAATAAACAGCTACAAGACAAGCTTCACACTGCAGGTACAGATCCTGTCCCACTTCACCCTCAAAACACCAAGGATAAGGACAGAGAGGGTAAAAATCTTGCTCTTGTACTCTGGAAACCCTTACCAACAATTGAAGAATCAATTTTTACCCCTCTTCATTTATTAGACAATGATGATTCTGATAGTGATGATTCGGAGTATGAAGACCTGGGAGTGGTCAGTGACTTGCATTGGAAAGATGAAGCTCCTCTACAAACTGCAAAAGTAGAACAAAAAACCATTGATCAATCTATTAAATCCAGGCTCAGGTATGCTAATAAGCTTACTTCCTCCAACAGTTCCCAATGAAGGCTCTCTTTTGGAATGTGTGTGGTGTTAAGTCCTCTCTGAACAGACTTAACATGCTCAAAAAAAATTATAAATTTGCCTTTTTAGCCATTTTTGAACCTATTGTGGCTGAAAAACATATTGACTTTTACAAACTCAAACTGGGTTATAGTCATGGCTTTTCTACCCAATTTAATAAATGCTGGATTTTCTGGGACTCCAACACCCTATCTCTCTTACAAGTTCAAGAAGGTGACCAAATCACCACTTGCCTCTTCACAAACCTTATCTCTCATACTAATATATTTATCAGTTCAGTCTATGGGATGCACAGTAGGGCAGAGAGAATTCATCTCTGGGATTCTCTTATGGAACACAATCCTGAGGAACAGGCTTGGATAGTTGGTGGGAACTTTAATACTATCATTTCCCTCTCTGAACATAAGGGGAATGACACTCCTTGTTCCAAAAGCATGGAGGACTTCAGAGATTGTATTCTGAGTTGTAATCTTTTAGAACCTAGTCTTAAAGGCTCTTTTTTTACCTGGGTGGGAAACAGATCAAAAGGAAGAGTTTTGCGAAGGCTTGACAGGGTACTCATCAATCAAGCTACTATGGATAGCTTCTCTGATATTTATCTTTATCACTTTGGAAAAACCTCCTCTGACCACAAACCTCTGCTTCTGGACTGTTCAAACTCTCAGTATAATGGACCTAAGCCCTTCAGGTTCATTAATGCTTAGACTTTGGACCCTAGTTTTCATGGAATTGTAAGGAATTTTGGGACTCTACTGATAATGGTAGAGGTATGAGGGGACTGGCAAATAAACTCAAGGCTCTAAAGAAGATTATCCAAGACTGGAATCACACTACCTTTGGTAATATTTTTTCTAAAGTCAAGGAAGCAGAAACTGAAGCTCTAAAGGCTCAGGAAATCTTTGAGAGGGAAGACACTCCAGCCAATAGGGAGGCCAGTAACCTAGCTAATGCTAACTTATTAAAAATTTGTAAGCAGGAGGAGAGCTACTGGGCCCAAAAATCAAACATCAAATGGCTTGCTGAAGGGGATATTTCTACAAAATTCTTTCATTCATTTGTTAAAGGGAAAAGAAGAAAAGCCTCTATTAGATTCATGAAAAACCAAGAAGGTAAGGAAATGGTTGATCATGTTGAACTATCCACTTATATAGCTAAACACTTTGAGAATACTTTTACTGAGGAGCACAGTGGAAATCTAGATCCTATTATCCAACACATTCCCACCCTTATTACAGAACATGATAATCAGGCCATACTTCAGCTTCCCATTGAGGAAGAGATTAAAAGTGCAATTTGGCATCTTAATCCCAATAGTTCAGCAGGTCCAGATGGATTTAATGGTGAATTCTTTAGATACTTTTGGGACACTATCAAGATGGACATGGTCAGTGCTGTGCAGGAATTCTTCTTAGGGATACCACTGCCTATGGCCTTTGGGAGCTCACTCATCACTCTAATTCCCAAGACTGAAGGGGCTAAAGAGATTGGGGACTATAGACCTATAGCACTATCTACTTTTTTCAGCAAGATTATATCTAGAATACTATCAAGCAGATTAGCTCCCCTTCTAGATAAAATCATATCCCCAGAGCAAGCGGGGTTTCTGAAAGGCAGAGGTATTGAAGAACATATTTTACTCAGCAATGAGTACATGCACAACCTGGACTCTAAAACAAGGGGAGGCAATGTGATGATTAAGCTTGATATGGCTAAAGCATTTGACAAGATGTCTTGGAATTACCTGGAGGCTATTCTTAAAGCTTTTGGATTTAATGAGAACTGCACAGCACTACTTCTACAGAATCTAAAATCCACATATATGTCTATCCTGGTTAATGGAAGGCCTGCTGGATTTTTCAAAATTAAGAGAGGAGTTAAACAGGGAGATCCCTTATCTCCCCTTCTTTTTATTATTGGTTCAGAAGGGTTTTCTAGGAGCCTTAAGCATGCAATCTCTTCAGGATTTTTATCCCCATACAAGGCAGGAAGGAGTCAGGTTGTCTCCCACTTGGCTTATGCAGATGATTTGATTGTGTTTCTTAGGGGTGATATTAGGAATATGCTAAGATTCAAATACACTCTGTACACTTATCTCCAAGCCTCAGGTCAAGAAGTTAATAACAAAAAGAGCACAATTTTTTGCAGCAAATCCAGTAGGTTAAACTACACCATATAAGTAGAGGAGGCTTTGGGATTCAAGATTGGGAAACCTCCTTTCAAATATTTGGGCTCTAATATCTTTCCTGGAAAGCTAAAAAGAATTCATTGTGATCACCTCCTCAGCCACTTTGATGCTTATCTCAATAGCTGGTATAGTAAGGAATTGAATCCTATGGGTAGGCTAATTCTTATCAAACATGTACTTAGTGCAATCCCTTTACACACAATGGCAGTGCAAGACCTCTCTTTATCTGTCATCAACCTGATCCATTCTAAGTTAGCCAACTTCTTTTGGGGTTCTAAATTTGGAAAGAACAAGCATCATTGGGCCAAGTGGGTTTCTCTTTGCAGACCTACAGGAGAAGGTGGTCTTGGAATCAGAAGCTTATTTGATATTCAAAGAGATTCTGCCCTAAAGCTTTGGTGGAAGGCCATCACTGGTGACACAATTTGGGCACAATTTGTGAAGAATAAATACTACAGGGACGGTCTTTTTGAAGCAAAGGTGTATGACTCTGCATCCTGGAAAAGAATATGTAGAATTGCACCTCTGGGTTTTCAGCATTCTAATATGCAAGATAATGATATCACATGGGTAAATGGGACCTTTACTTTCAAGGAAGCTTACTGGGCAGTTAGAGAAAGGGATATTAGCACTCAGTTTAACACTCTCTCCTGGAACAAATTTCAAATTCCTAAGGTGAAACTCTTCACTTGGAAAGCAGTCAACCATTACCTTCCCTTTCCTAANGTTCTTAACAAACTATCATTCAATCTGCCTAGCAAATGCAACTTCTGCAATAAACATGAGGCTACTGATGAACACACACTACTGAGCTGTGATTTTTCTGCAACAATTTGGAATGATTTTGCTGAATACTCTGGTGGCCCTAAATGGAGAAGAGGGAGTGATATGAAAGAACACCTTTTGGAATGGTGGACTAGTCACAACAAAAAATCACTTCAAGGCCTTCTTAAACTAATTCTACCAGGATGCATTATATGGACACTTTGGAAGACTTATAACAGATGCCTATATGACAATTATAAACCATCTAAGATAGGTCTCATTATCGAAATTCAGAAACTTGTCCAACACTGGTTCTGGTCCAACAAAAAAGCACAGAAAATTGCGACTAGGGAAGAAATTGAAGCGTTGAACCTGAAAGCTTACCTTAGTCGATAAAGAACGTCTACCTTGAGTTGACTCAGAGTTCAACGGTTAAAGGTTGAAGATGAAGGCGCAACAACACTTTTTTTGTTTTTGGAATGTATTTTGCTCTTCATTTGTGTTTTTGGGCTGTGTTGAGTTTTAGCCCAACTCACATCATTTCTTGTACATTCTACTCTTTAATCTACTTGGTAAGGATGCCTGGGCCTTACCCCACCGATTTTGGTGGTTTTCTTTTGGGTTAAAAAAAAAAAATACATATACATACATATATATATATATATATATATTATATTATATTTTAGAAATATTCTAAGGAAATATTACTAGCATAATTTTTCCTAGAACGCTCTTGGTAGTTCGTGTGTCCCAACTAGAGGTCATATACCTTTCTGGCTAGCTCTTGGACCAATCACTTCAACCATACATATCGTTGCTTGCTTGCAAAGAAATGTATAAATTTCTAACAATAACTTATAATCTTCATAAGAGGTCTTGGGTGGAAACAACGTTTGGACATTAAATTTTTGTTTTCCGCTACCTTATCCAAGCGTGGTTTCCCAACATTAAAACCATAAAAAATTAAGAGGAATAAAAAAGAGTTTGAAATCCCCAACTTGAGCCTGGGTAAATTATACTCCCTCTGTTCCAGAGTATTTGTCCACTTTCATTTTTACACACCATCCAATACACTTCTTTAATCCATTTTATCTCGTAACTTGTATATTAAAAAATTATAAAAATTAAATATCAATAATCTATATGTTAAGATAAATCAAACAAGATCACACATGACTATATTTAGGCTTATATATTGAGAGGATTTGATGAGTGAAAGTGCTTAGATGAAGAGTTCCAAAAGTCAAAAGTGGACGAATATAACAGGACGCAGGGAGTATGATATAGCCGGATGTACCTTCCTTTTGGTACATCATAAAAAACTTGTAATTTAAAATGTTTAAGAATAAATATTAATTATGTTGTTTTAGAATGAATATTTTTTAGAATGAATACTACCTTGTTTTAAAATGAGCACGGTGTTGAGCGGACTTCAGAATAAACACTACGGTTGAAAATGAATATTTTGTTTATTCAAAATGAAAATCTTGTTGATTCAAAATAATGATTATCTTAATTTAAAATGAGTATTTACCGAGTATATCTAACTTTGTATGCAATCTCATGAAATCTTGCTCGATTGTAAAAAAAAGTTTAAAAACTAAAAATTATAGAATATTTACATACTTTAAACTCATTTTTTGCTATTTTAGAGAGATTTATTAATTTTGTAAGCTGAGTCTAAAATGAAGGATGAAATTTATTGAGAGCCTCCTGCGTCACGATAGGCAGTGGTTATCAAAATGCCAATAGACCCCTCTTCCCAACATTTAAATACACACCCACATAAATCACCCCATTACAACGTAACATAACTACTGTCACGTCCCTCTCTCTCCGTTTCTTCACATTCCCACCCTCCTCAGCCTCTCTTCCCTATCATCCAACATCATCATTTGCTCTTTCATTTTCACAGGTATATCTGATCCGATCCTAAAAATATATATATTTTTCTTTTCTTTTCTTGACTTATTTCGTGTACTAACGTTCCTTTACCACTGCACATTTAGGGGGGACGAGGTGGTTTTGCAATGAAGGGCAGAGGGAAAAGGAAGTTTTTTAAGTGTCTGGAATCGTCAGGTGTACACGGCGGTGGCCGTAAATCCAAACGGTCCAGTCTTGCCGGCAAGGAGATGACAGAGGATGGCGAAAAATGTAAATCGTCCATTGACAGTGACACCGCCTTTGACTTCGCCAATAATGATAGGCCAACAGAGAAATCTCGTAGAAGTTTTTCTCGCACGATCAAAGCCGCCCTTTTCGAAACGTCACTGGTATATTAAAATACGTCGTTTTACTTTTCGTTCTTTTCTTTATATATGCCGTATTAAATGGTTTCTCCTCCGTAGTAATTCAAAACATGAATATCTCTGAATTTGTTTTGCGTTTTCCCCTATGAGAATTTACATGCCTTTTTTGGGTGTGTTTTTGGGCAGTCGAGGAAATTTCGAAGAAAAGGTCCGTCTATACCCATAGCAGAATCAAAAGATGTGGATTTATCACAAAAAGAGAAGATGAAGAAATTGCCATTAGACGATTCAAAACAATGTTGGGGCACAGACGAAAATCTGGGGAGCCATTCAAGCGATATGTGGGACTCCTCCTTGTTACATTCGTCCTTGTCCTTTACCACAACAACAACATTGTCCTTTTCCCGCGCGTCGTCCTGGTCAGCATCCGAGAGAAAGATATCGGAGGTGAACGAGGAGATGGCACCGACCACGAGTGCGGCCAAGGCCGCACTTCCGGCCCTAAAACCACCAAGGCCTCCGGCGGCGATGGCTACGGTGATGAAGGAACCCATTGTTCCGATACACATGCCGATGGCGCGTTATTGCAATTTACGGATAATCTGTTTTGTGATTCTTTCGCTAATGGCGTTGATATTTTGGGGGAAGGTATTGGCCATTGTTTGTACTTCCATATGGCTTTACTTGATACCCCGTTTTACTTCCTCACCGGAGGTTGAAGAAGGGCTTCGCGAGGGGCTCCGGAAGAGCATTTTTTCTAATCGGCTGGCATAGGTCTTAAGGATGTCCTTGTTATGTGTTCTTGACATTTTTTAAATCGTGGAGAAGCTTCCATTTAGCTTAAATTTGCTGAAATATTAGAATAATAATAATGCTTATTAAAAATATGGAATACATGTGCTAGTTAGGAAATATCATTAGATATTAACGTTAGCGATTTGGACAAAATTTTAATGGTGTAGATTACTTTGAAAACGCTTATGCTAAACGCTGTATGTAGATGTTCTTTTTAAAACACTGACGCTATTCCCAAACAGATCCTGTATAAGAGATACTCTTAACACAACTAGAAATAAAGAATGAAAACCAACTAAAATACAATATCTACCACAAATATGAATAGGAAACTTACTTATAATCAAACTCAACCATAACTAATACTATTATTATTATTATGATGGTCTAACATTCCCTCTCAAGCTAAACTCTGGACTATGACCACCATGAACACCCCCTTTGTCGCGACTTCCTCGCGGGAGCGGCCCTGTGGCCACGTCCACGCTGAACCCATGTGACATTTAAACTTTTATTAGGTTGACCACTCAAAAATAAACAAAATAATAATTTTAAATCCAAATTTCAACTTTCCCTCTTTTCTTTTTACGACCATCCAATCTTTTCTATTTTCAAATTCATTTCCTTCCAAATTTTTTCATCTCTCTTTTCTTTATAATTTTACAAACACCAAATTTTAAAATTTCAATACGCTTCAAAAATAATGTAATTTTCGCACTATCTTTTAACTCATCAAGTGAGGATGAAATATTTATAGAAGTAGTGCTACCCCATGCCTGAATCATTTCGAGTCATAAGCAGAATAAATGATAGTAAAAAGATGAATCCTAATAAACTCTTATGGAAGGTTATTTCCGTATCGAGCCAATCTCTAACGAGTTGTTATTCCCTCAATGTTTTCTGATGAGTCGATGATACGAATATCGTATCCGATAGGAAAAAACTTTGAGCGTCTTTAATCGCCTGTCACATTTTGGGGGGCTGTCTAGGTGGAGAAAATGAAGTCTGAATGAAATTCCTTACAGTGTTCATCATTTTTGTTTTGAAACCTGAAGGAACTTGATTCAATAGAATTGGTGGACCACGAACCGAATCTTAAGAGCAAGAGAGTTCGACATCAAATGCATATAAGTCAGAATCATAATTTGATTCACCCGCCATCCGAAAAAGTAATTGGCGTTTTTCATAATTTTCATCAACATGATCATAAGCTACACATATTCCTTCATGAAATTCAAAATTTCCATATAGAGCATTCTCCATCACACCAAGCAGTTTGCCCAATGCAGAGTTCATCGTCGTAATAATGGCCGCCATATTCACAAAAAAATCACTAAGAGCAAAAATTAGAAACAATTCCAGTGACAATCAATGTTCTGATGAGAGAAGTACTTTAAATTTGCACAAATCAAGTACCCGTCGCATGACTTAGAATAAAAGATCTTGATATAGAAGGATTGAAATACCTTATATGCACGGGTAAGAAATTCCTGACCAAATTTTGAGGCCATAGTTCTTACTCACTCAAAGATACTTGGCTCAATTTGAAAATTTAATAATTGTCCTTCATAAAAAGGAAATTTGGTGTGTCAACTAATGGTAAACAGTGGCAATAAATTATTTAAAAATAAATATTAATAATAATTGTTATTATCATTATTATTAATTACTAATATTTAATAATAATGAGTATTATCATTTTAATTATTATTTTTATTAATTACTATTATAGTTATTATTAAGTACGATGATAATAAATTATTATTAATTATTTTTAATATTAAAAATTATTAATATTATTATTAATTAATAATCATAATAATTACTATTGTTATTATTTTAATTATTATTATTTTAATAACAAAAATTATTATTACTTTAATCACTATTATTCTTAATTACTATTAGTGTTATTATTAAAGTAAATTCTATAATTGGTTCTTTATAACAGGTGGGTTTCCCTATTTAGTCCTCTATTATCAAATATTACCCAAGTGGTCCTTCTTTTATGGGTACCTTTCCACAAATAGTCCTTTTTTTGATCTTATATCATGTTGGTGTTAATTTGAGGGCTAAAAGTGTAATTTCACAATGATAATATATCTTTTTTGTCATACACAATTCCAAAGGCTGTTTCGTTTGCGTCGTTTGTGAATTACCGTCGCTTTTTATGACAACTATAGTCTACAAATGTGATCTTTCGTCAGAATCCTGGCCCACAATCATAGTCATTATTTTTGTGTTATCCGCTTAACCAATATCAGAACACGTCACTAGACATAATGTTGACGTCAAATTATACTTTTAGCCTTTAAATTAACACCATTATGGCAGAAGATCAAAAAAAAGACCATTTGTGGAAAGGTACCCTTAAAAAAAGGACTACGGGGGTAACATTTGATAATAGAGGACTAAATATGGAAACCCCCTATTATAAAGGACCAATTATGGAATTTACTCTTATTATTAAGTATGATGATAATAAATTATGTACTATTATTATATTATTACCATTTATTAATAATGATAATAATGACTTTTATTTTTATGTTTGTAATTATTATTAATATTATTTTTAAATTATTTGTTTTTTTATATAATTTTTTGATTTGAAAAGATCTGATTTGATGTAAATGGATCCAATTTGATCTCAACTGATCTAATCTAATTTGAATAGATCTGATCTGATCTTGTTCTAATAAGAATAAATAATAAGTAGCAGAACTAAGTTGAAGAGAACATGGCCTTAGGCCCTGTTCTTTTGAGTTAGAATTTCAGAGTTGGATGTTGGAAAAAATTAGAAGGAGTTGGAAGAATCTGGAAGGAGTTGGAAAAAACTGGAAGTTGGAAAATGTTGGAAGAATTTAAGTGTTAAAAAATCATTCAATTAAATGATCATCCCAATAAATATGTAAGGAAACTCTCATTTTGGTTAAAATGAATTCATCATTTTCCATGTTTAAGGTGATATGTTTAAAATTTAGATATATAATGTTATTTTATATTACTACCTTTTAAAGTTATTGTTGGAAGAAACTGGAAGGAATTGGAAGGAACTGGAAGAAGTTAGAAAAAGTTGGAAGTTAATTTTTCCAACTCAAAAGAATAGGGCCTTAGTCTTGACTCTTGACATGCAATACGAGTTATGAATTACTCCATCCGTCTAGAATTTATCTTCTTATTGCGCGTTATGATGTTTGACTGATATTATTTTTGAATAATTTTATATGAAAAATAGTGTGGAATTATAAATAAAAATAACATATTCAAAAACTATATCAAAATATCTATAAAATGAAGAAAATAATAAGAGAAAATATTCTGTACATTAAATTGGCTTGGAAAATACAAAGGATTAATCACCTTTATATAGGAGGAGAAAGCAAACAAATAAGTAAACTACCATAATTCTACACCTACCATAACTTTGTTCTTATTTTAATAGGAATTACAATGCATAAGGTAAGAAAATCAATATTTTTCTTTTTGGGTTATGATTCCATACGCCAACATCCCCCCTCAAGCTAGAGCATGCGGATTCTGGGTGCTCAGCTTGGACAGCAAATGAGAAAATGGAGCAGAAGAAAAAGCTTTCGTAAAATGATCTGCATATTGATCGACGGTGGATATATGTCTGGTACACAAAACGCCCTTTTGAATATCATCACGCCTAAAGTGACAATCAATTTCAATATATTTTATGCGTTCATGAAAAACTTGATTAGCCGCAATGTGGAGAGTAGCATGATTATCACAATACAAACACATGGGCTGTTTGTGATGCACTCCAAGAGACAGAAGAAGAGATTGTTGAAACACGGGTTTATCACGTTTTCGTACTAAAGCCGTGTTCGTTTTTATGACAGGTTTTGATAATGCCAAACTACCGTGAATGAGACAAGTTGTTGAATATACAAGGCGAGAAATAAATATAATAAGAAAGCAAGAGAACAAGAGCTAAAAGAGACCAAGAACGAAGACCGTAGTGTTTAGCGTCGTTGAGTCGGTCACAATGTGATCAAGACCGACCCAAGCTTTGCACTTTGGCTCTTTAGGCTAAAACATTTTTTATTGCATTTTACATATCATCAAAATTATTTTCAAACATGCTTAAACATATTAAAAACACTTGGTGTTCGCCCAAACCAAAAACCAAGCCATCCGGGGTTCGGCTTTCGGAAACCGGCGTTCGACATTCGGTTATCGGCGTTGGTTTTTGGCGTCTGAACCAACCAAGTGATTTTCAACTTTCTATAATTGGTTTTTACTTCTGGGCACATTTAAATAGTTTTCCATCAAAAACACTTCAAAAACCACCTTTCGCTTTTTATCGTTTGATAAAAACCATGCGAAACGGCATAAACTTGGCTAGCCGTGGTTTTTACTTAAATGAAGTGGTTTTCGAGTATTTTTGTGTGGGAATTGTTTTTGAATGCATTTAAATGGTTCTCCAATCACAACATCATGAAAACCACCTTTCGGTTTTGTCTTTTTGTAAAAACCACCCGTGTACGGTGTTGACTTGGTCAACCGTAGTTTTTACCTTAACTACGTCGTTTTCAACTTACAAATCTTGTTTTGACATCACAATACATCAAATAAGTGTTTTAAATACTTAGTTTTTACTTTGGAGAACTTTGAATTTTTTCAGTCGGGTTTCAGCACCAGTCAGCTAGGCCATGATTCTAGACTAGCCATCTACCAGCGATGGTAGATATCACCCATCCATGGGTAAGTGATCCTGTGATGAATGTCGTTTTAACACCAAATAATAAAACTAAACTAACCCCTAGATATGGTAAGTTCAGGTCGATCCCACAGAGAGGCGAGAGTTAACTACTAATTCGTAGATATTTTTTTTCTTGAAGTTGATTTAAAACTAAATAAAATTTTGAAAAAAACTAGAGAATAAATTCTAAAAGTAAACCGAGCAACTAATAGAAGTTCAAAAGAATTTGATTAGAAAGTTTCCAATCCCAATTGCTCCACCATTCAGCCAATGGTAGCCAATTGCTCCACTCCTTAGGATGTTCACTGCTCATACACCTGAGATAGGTTTCCACACACCTATTAACCACCTCTATCTGGCCATCAGTTTGTGGGTGGTAGGACGTTGACAGCAGCAGCTCAGTTCCTTGGATTGTCATTAATGTCTTCAAAAATTCACTCAAGAATATCTTGTCTCTATCACTCACAATGGTTTGGGGCCATCCATGTAACTTAAACACGTTGTCCAAGTAAGCTTGTGCCACTTCTGCTGCAGAGAATGGATGTCCCAAAGCTATGAAATGGGCATATTTGCTAAACCTGTCAACTACAACCATAATGACTTCCCTTCCTCCAGATTTTGGCAACCCCTCTATGAAGTCCATGGAGACGTCCCTCCAGACCTCAGTTGGTATCTGTAAGGGCTGTAATAACCCGGGATAAGGACTATTGTCATATTTGCAACTTTGACAGGTCACACATTGCCGGATATGGTGTTGTACATCTCTGGTCATTCCCTTCCAACAAAACAATCCTTTGAGTTTTTTAAGGGTAGCATCTCTACCAGAGTGACCTCCAGTAGGTGAGTTATGAACCCATTTTAGAATTTGTTTCCTTAATTTTTTGGTCTGGCCCAATTACCAATCTTCCTTTCCTTCTTAACAGATCTCCTTGTAGCCCATACTTGCTGACAGTTGTTCCCTGCCTTAATTTTGCCAAAACTTCCCTCAAATTGTTATCCAGAAGATAACTGGCCTTAATTGATGATAGGACATCTGACTGTACTCCTGACATAGCCATTGCCAAGATCTCTGAACCCTTCAGTCTTGATAAAGCATCAGCTGCAACATTCTCCACTCCACTTCGATATTGTATCTCATATTGGAAACCCATAAGCTTGGATAACCAAAATTGTTGGAAGGGAGTTGAGATTTTCTGCTCCATTAACCACTTTAGACTTTTTTGATCTGTAAGGATCACAAAGGGACCACTGCTCAAGTATTGTTCCCACTTCTGTACGGAATGAACTACTGCTAGTAACTCCTTCTCATACACAGACAACTGCTGCCATTTTGGACCCAATGTTTTACTTAGAAAGGCTAGGGGATGTTTATCTTGCATGAGTACAGCCCCAATACCATAAGTAGACGCATCAGTTTCAACCACAAATGTTTTAGCAAAGTTTGGGAATCCCAACACTGGGGCAGTGGTTAATGCTGTCTTCAGTCTCTCAAAAGCATCTGTTGCTTCACAAGTCCAATTGAAGTTTCCTTTCTTCAGTAACTGTGTCAAGGGTTTGGCAATGACAGCATACCCCTTAAAAAATTTCCTATAATAGCCCGCCAAACCCAAAAAACTTCTGAGCTCTCTCATATTAGTAGGTTTAGGCCACTCTTGCACTGCCTTAATCTTCCCAGGGTCAGTGGAGATTCCTTCTGTTAGAATAAAAGACCAACGCTAGAGGGGGGGTGAATAGCGTTTGATCGTAGAAATCGCAGGATTTAAAAATTAAAAGAGAAGTAAAGAGAAGAGTAAGAGGCACACCGAATTTTACCCTGATTCACCACAACTTGTGGCTAATCCAGCCTCCCGAGAGACTCTCTCGAGCTACACTACTATCTCGTTAAGCTTGCGGGTGCTTAACAAACCGTTACAACTTGAGAGTTCGAGTTACACGAACCTCAACGAGTCCTTCAAAGGAAACAACCCTTCCTTTGAATCTACTGAGAGAAATACTTTCTCTCAAAGTGTCTAAGAACACGAATACACTCAAGAACGAGGCTCTCTTATAGAGTATATTATGAGTAAACTAAGTACGATCAAGAACAACTCAACGTTCACACAAAATGGCTCTAGAAAGCTATGGAAAATGATGATATTTGAATGCAATGAAAGTATGAATGTTGTGAAGTGAATTGGTGAGAAAAACAGACCTAAACACCCCTTTTTATAGTGCCAAAATAGGCTCCAACGGACCAATGCATTAAAGGGGTGATTGGCTTGATTTATGGGGTTGATTAAATGAGAATCTGCAGGATATTGGCTTCCATCGATGTTTAGACTCAACCATCGCTGGTAAGCCAATTTTCCTTCAGTTTTGAAGCCAACGGTCACCTACCCATCGATGGGTACAAGTTTCCCATCACTGGGTGGGAGGTTGACTTCCAAACAAGGAAAGAATCAACCTTAAATGACTTTCAACGGTCATGCCTTCCCATCGATGGTTTAACCTTACCATCGCTGGGTTCCCATCGATGCGATAGGTTTCCCATCGCTGGGTAAGGTTGTTCTGCCTTGTGTTAATTTTGCACCAAGGCTTTAACAGCGATGGGTAGAACTCCCCATCGCTGTTTGGCATGGTTCTGGAAGTTGGTTTGGCTTAGGGACCGCTTACCCATCGATGGGAAGATCTTCCCATCGCTGGGTGGGTGGTTAGCCAAAAGCCCATAGTCTTTGCCTTAACCACGGCCTAGCCAACCGATGCAAAAACCAACCGAAAAATCCAAAGTTCTCCAAAATAAAAACCAAGTGTTTGAAACACTTATTTGATGTATTTGGCTAAGAAATCAAGTGAGTTACTTTAAAAACCACGTCATTTGAGTAAAAACCACGGCTAGCCAAGTTTATGCTGTTTTGAATGATTTTTGTCAAACGAGCAAAAGCGAACGATGATTTTCAAAGAGTTTTTGTTGGAGAACCGTTTAAACATGCCAAAGAGTGAAAACCAATCAAAAAAAGTTTAAAACCACTCGGTTGGTTCGGACCCCAAAAACCAAAGCCGATAACCGAGAGCCGAACGCCGGTTTCTGAAACCCGAACGCTGGATGGCTTGGTTTTTGGTTTGGGCGAACACCAAGTGTTTTTAATGACTTAAAAAAGTTTGAAAAACATTTTTATGATGTAAGAAACGCAATGAGAGATTTTAGCCTAAAGAGCCAAGGTGTAAAGATTGGGTCGGTCTTGATCACAATGAAGACCGACTCAACGACACTAAGACTAAGGTCTTCGTTCTTGGTCTTCTTTTGGCTCTTCTTCTACTTTTCATTCTTTGCCTTGTATATTCAATGTTTGACTTGATCACGGTGGTTTGGCATTATCAAAACCTGTCATAAAAACAAACACGGCTTTAGTACGAAAACGTGACGAATCCGTGTTTCAACAATTTCCCCCTTTTTGATAATGGCAAACGAGACGAGGTTATGCATAGGAGGATAATTTTGAGACTTTTAAAAAGAGTTCCCCCTTAAAAGATGACATTTGATTTTTAAAAATTCCCCCTTAATTTATGCATGACCTAGATATCTTCCCCCTTTTGACATTAACAAAAAGAATCAAAAGTAAACTTGAGAATTTAAAAGTGAACTTTTATTCGTTAAAAAAGGAGAAAATGCGGAGTACAACGGAATTGAAATAAAAAATGCAATTAAAGTAGGGAAAAGAGAGAAGGAAGAGTCTAAGCATCGGCGTCTTCGTTCTCGGCGTCATCGTCTTCTTCGTCGTCCTCAACGTTCATGGGATCCCCGTCGACCGCGTCCTCAAAGTCGGCCTCGTCGGGGGAAGAGGACGGAGCATATGAGTCATCCTCCTCGTCCTCGCCTTCATAGTTTTGACCGAGGAAGGTGCTGTCAAAGGGCGGCGGGACGTAGTTGATGCCGCGGAAGTACGCCGTCATGTCATGGTGTTGACGTTGCAGCGTCTAATCCATTCGCTCCATGTACTGCCCCATGTCGTCCACCGTGAGGGTTAGCCGATTCAGGGTATCGGCTATGGACTGCAACAAGGCCCGGGCGGGAGCGGGTGCAGGGGCACGGGCTGGGGCACGGGCACGACTCGGTCCGGCGCCGTCTTGGTCTCCGGACTTCTTCCGGAAGGTGCTATCTTGGATGATCCAAATCTTCGTCATCTTCGTATCCGGTCCGGCGATGTGAATGTCGGAGGCAACAATGAGATCCATGACGAGGAAGGCGTATGGCAAGCTCCGCTCGGTGGTGATGGAGGCGCAATCCGCCATGTGAATCATGACGTATTTTGCCGAGTTGATCGAGGCACCATGGATGATAGCATGAACCGCCTTGAGATCCTCGTTGGAGAGAGAGGTGTGGCTACTATCCCGGGGGCAAAGAATCCGGGTGAGGATGTAGAGTAGGAGACGCTTTTCCGGCGGGGCTGAGTGGATGGTTGGTGCGCCGCTGTGACGGATGAGGTTGGTGATTCCAAGCTCTTGGATGACCACCGCCTCGTTGTTGAGAATCCAATAATCGCCACCATATGTTGCGATGTCGTCACCGCAAGTGGGCAAGCTTGCAACCCGAGCAAAGGTAGCCAAATCAAACTCTAAGTCATAGAGATTGATGCTGCTCCGGATAGTGTCCCCGTCTCGGTGGAGATTGGAGTAGAAGGCCCGGACATAGGCGGGATTGAAGGAGGTGCGGCTCTTGGAGACGAAGGGCCACAAACCTGACTCCTTGAGTTGATCGTCGAGGTCGTGGTATCCCTTCTGTTGAGGCAACAACTCGGGCAGCACCCTTGGCGGTGAGATGCGGCGTTTGGTGAAGTGGGTGATGAAGCGAGTAAGCTCTTTCTCCAACCCAAATTCGAGGAAGGATCCGTCCAGGTATGGGAAGGGTTGAGGCGCAGAGATTGTGGCCTCGCCGGTGACCTTCTTGGAAGCTTTGCTCTTGGACTTTCCACCCGCCATTGTTGACTAGATTATGAAGAAAGAGTGACAAATGATGCAAAGATAGGCTAGAGGAATGAAGTATGGATGTTAAATGTGATTAGGAATGACCAAATATGGTGTATATATATAGGGAAGGGGGATAAAACGGATGGAATTCAAAAAAAATGACTATTGGGCATTAAATCCGGTGCCCAACGGTTAAAAAAATTTGAATCGCTGCAGGCTTCCCAGCGATGGGTAGGAGTTCCCATCGATGGGAAGGACGACACTGGAAAGCGAAGGAGAAAACAATGGCTGCCTTCCCAGCGATGGTAAACCTCACCCATCGATGGGAAGGTGGCTTCTGGAAATCCGATAGAACGCTTTAAAAAAAAGTGTCAAACACCCAGCGATGGGAGAAAGTTCCCATCGATGGTAAGAGAGGTTCTGGAAAAAAGGAACACTTCCCTCCCAGCGATGGTACAGCCCACCCATCGCTGGTTCCCCCTGATTTCCAGAATTCTTCACTTTGAACCGTCCCTACAAAAAAGAGTTAGAAAACCCTCCGATGCTCAAGTTAGTAAGCGTTTAATCAAAGATAATAGAGTGATAAAATGCACAAATTAGATCATCGTGGAGTCAAGGATTCCGAGTTCGCTACGAATGCGGAAGAACGACTCTTTCTCTAAAGGTTTTGTGAAAATGTCGGCTAATTGGTTGTGTGTTTCAACAAACTCAATTTCGACATCACCTTTGAGAACATGATCTCTAATGAAATGGTGTCTAATGTCAATGTGTTTCGTCCTTGAGTGAAGAACGGGGTTCTTCGTCAAGCTAATGGCGCTAGTATTGTCACAACGAAGAGGAACGTGACTGATACTAAGGCCATAGTCCACTAGTTGTTGCTTCATCCAAAGGATTTGAGCACAACAACTACCGGCGGCAACGTATTCCGCTTTGGTTGTGGATAACGCAACACTGACTTGTTTCTTACTGAACCATGAAACTAAAGAGCTACCAAGTAAGTGGCAAGTCCCACTCGTACTTTTACGGTCCAATTTGCAACCGGCAAAGTCCGAGTCGGAGTAACCAACGAGATGACACGAAGAGCCTTTAGGATACCACAGTCCAACGTTAACCGTGCCTACAAGGTATTTCATGATCCGTTTCACCGCCGTTGAGTGCGATTCCTTCGGGCATGATTGATACCTTGCGCAAAGGCATACGCTAAACATGATATCCGGCCTACTAGC